CACAAACTCCCCCCCCCCCCCCCCCAAATGGGGACATACGTAGAAATAAAAACAACGTATCTACTAAAGTGGGGGAGGGTTACATGTGTGCAGGCCTTTATTGCCGTCTGACACGTGCACAGGAAGTGGGGCCTCCAGGGATTGCTTACATCCACTACCGCAAGTCCTCTGAATAGCCGAATGGCGATCAGCTCACTTCACTTCGCCTCGGTTATTCACTCGGCAGGCAGCTTAGTGAATAGCCCCCTAACCAATGACCGGCTTTTTGCTGCGCTTGTAAAGTAGGGATACACTGATGTTGGTGCCGACACCGGCTCCGATACCGACCCGATACTAAGCGCCGATACCGGCACTTTACATTTTTAAACGGAAGCGGTTTCCTGACGTCCCGTGCTTGCTGTGGACCTCGGCAGCCTTCCTGTAAAACACGTTGTGCCTGTTTACAGCGATGGCCGCACATCTCCTCCTTCCTGTGGAACCCCGCACCCACCCATGAGACCCTGCGAGACCCCACACAGCCCTCCTACGACCCTGCACAGCCTCTTGAGACCCTGAATTGCCCACCTGAGACCCCGCACAGCCTCCTGAGACCCCGCACAGTCCATGTGAGCACCCCCACAGCCCTCCTGAGACCCCGCACAGTCCATGTGAGCACCCCCACAGCCCTCCTGAGACCCCGCACAGCCTCCTGTAAATCAGCCGTGAGGTGTGCTGGGAATCACTACCACGCTTTCCTTCCTCTCCTCACTGAGACTGGCTTCACCCGGGTTAGCGCGCTCCAAGTCTGTTCACACAGGTTTCTGTTCACTATCGCCATGGTGACAAGTTATCTACTTCTATCCCACTCTGTTCCCAATGATAAATTCATATCTTCTCATTTCAGTTTCCGCATATTTCACCCTCAAAACTTTCTTTCATTCTAATAAATATATTTTCTTCATTTCAGCCGTTCTAATCATTTATTATCATTACAGACTTCCCTGCTTCATACTTTCTTCAATGTGTCCGCATAGCGAGCTCATCTAACCTCATACAAATTGTATACATACCCTGTTTCCCCGAAAATAAGACCTAGTTGTGACCTTTCCCAGGGCCGGTGCGAACAGTCACACAAGGGGGAACTTGAAGAGCCGCGGGAGAGAATGAGCGGTGCCAACGAAGCCGGCGCTAGAGGAAGCGAGGCGGCACCGGAGGGAGCAGAGCCGCATAAGCCGACGCCTCCTCTATAGCGCCGACTCCTGTCACAGGCGGAGTGATACCAAATGCACCCCGCCTGTGAGGAATGGATAGTGAAAGCGCGCTTCGCTCATCCTGGCCAGCGATTGGTTACCAAATTGCTCTTGGAAAGGTACCGCACCCCCAGTGGCGTCACAAGGGGGGTGTGGCCCACACCCGGGTGACACCATTGGAGGGTTAACACCCAAATGACCTGCAGTCATTTGGGTGTCACCCCCCTCTGAAAAGTCGGGGGCTCGGTCATGGACCGAACGCCCGACAGTATAAGGCGAGAGGAGGGGACCAGGCGGGCATACCTTATACCGCCGGGTGGCTGTCTCCTCCTCTCTCTGGCGGCATCCATCACCAAGATGGCCGCCGGCAGGTATCAGAATGCTTCCGCACGTGCGGGATGACATCCTTGCGCACACGCGTGGTGACGTCACGCACATGCGCAGTGACGTCTCGGCGGGGTGACACTCGGATACCGCTCCGGGTGTCACCCAGCCTCGGGACGCCCCTGTGAATATCAGAGATGATTTGAGGATCTACAACTAAGTGATAGAAAAAATAAGCTAGGTACTTGAATGCATTTTTAAGGTTTAACTCCTG